GAATAAAATGAGGAATAAGATAAGAGTTCTTTCTTCACATGGAAAGTGAACCTTCTTGCTGTTGGTATTCATATTCCCAGATGAGGCATTTCAGTCTCATTGGGAAACTTGCTTAAGGTAACTAAAAAGTAGATTTGAATGCAGTGCAGCCTGAAACTCATTATTTCTTACCTTTCCCCCCTTTTATATTGTCACCTATACCAAGCCACCATTATATCTTTCCTAGATTGCCTTGTTAACTTGACTGTTCATTCTCTTTGTCCCATACAGTCCATTCTTCACTTAGGTGCCAGAGTGTTCCTTTTACAACATAAATCATACCTAGTCTCACTTGTCTGTTTAAAACCCTCCAGTGGCTTCCCACAGCAATTGGAGTAAAATCAAACTCATAACCATGACCTAACAATCTGGCCCCTCTCTCTTTTCCACTGTTGTCTCCTGTGGACTTTCCATTCTAGTCACTGGCCCGTTTGTTGCTCCTCAGATATGTCAAGTGTATTCCCATTTCATGGCCTTTTGTATTTGTTCCCTCAGTTTATAATGCTGTGTCCTTTAATTTCTACTTCATTTTTCTTAAGTCTCAAGTCATATTTAACCTCCTCAGGGAGGTCCTCCTAGTTAAAATACAACCCCTCCCCATCATACTCCCTTTCTTTGCTTTTATTTTCTTTCTAGCATTTAACACCTCCAGAAACCATAATCTGTTTATTTTCTGACTTTTTTTCCCCTCGAATCAGTAGCATATAAACCTCATGAAGGCCTGTTCCTTGTCTGTGTTGTTTATTTTTAGAACACAGAAGAGTGCATTGCACATGAGTCTAAGGTATATGTAATAGTCTCATGAAAGGTTTGAACAAGTTCTGTGAGTAGGCAGAGAGCCGTTTGTCTGTATGGGCTAGGCAGTATGCAGTGGAGCAACTTCAAGTTGGTACTTAAGGTAAATTGGATATGGAGGGGGAGGGGTTGAAAATACCTAAGATTGTTTCTGTTTATGGGACTATTATTTCTTTAGTCTTCTTGCAAAGTAGGTGCAGCAGAAATTATGTTCTTCCAAAGAGAAATGGAAAAAATTAGAGAAGCCAGTTGACAGGAATTGTTTTAGTCATTGTGACTTTTTGAAAAAAGCATGATTATTACACAAATAATATATCTTCATCATTGCAGTGTAGTAAATTACTTAGTGTGGCTTTTCTACCCATAAGTCTTTGTAAACTCCAAGGTGGGATTTGCTATGAGCAACTGAGGAGCTTCTGATTGCTACAGTTGTCCACCTGGAGTATTTCTGTTGGGAGGGGCACAAAACAATGTTCTGGGAGGGTCCCACTCTCTCTCAGGTGCTTAGAGTTCTGATGCTGTGATTGGCTAGTTTGGCCCATCTGCCAGGCTCAAAAGGAGGCCTCCTGGAGGCAGATCTCTCTCTGACTTACGGTTGAGGAAGACGTGCTGCTGGAAGAGACATGCGCTCCTGAGACATGCGCTGCTGGAAAGAGACACAAGAGACACGCATTGCTGAGTGAGACACCGAGGGACCAGCACTCCTGGGAAAGAGACTGTGAGAGACTGTTGGCTGAGGGACGGTGGGCTGAGAGAGAGAGACTGAGCATTTTTTTCCTGAACTTGAATTGTAGCCTGTGGTGCTTCCCTAATAAACCCCATAATCTGTGAGCTCTGTGTGGCCACTGCAGCAAATTATCAAACCTAGGAGAGAGGTGGTGGGTGCTTTGGGAGGAACGGTTGGAGAAAGGGCTGGAGGGAGGCAGCATGTCTGGCCTGGCAGGAATAGGCCTTGGGCTGTTGATGGTGATTCTGTCTTCCTCTTGTGGGATTAGAGGAGGTCATAACATGTGGCCTCCTTGCCCCTTTTGCAATCATAGAATATTTAGAAATACAACTAAAAAAGAATAAAATTAGAATTACTTGTGATTTGTCCATGCATTGATGAATCACTAAACATTATTTTGATGATACAGCTATCCTTTTCTGTGTATACATATGTACATATGCAAGAAACAAAAATTGGTATCATATGACTTACGTGATTTTAGACAACCAAGAGAAGATGTGTAAAAAGGCATTGTGTTCTAGTTACCTAGTGCTGCTCTGACAAGAATATACCACAAATGGGATGGCCTTAACAAGCAGGGAGTTTATTCACTTACATTTTGGAGGCTTTAAGTTCGAGTTCAAAGTGCCAGGCTCTAAGGGATGGGTGAAAGCCCCTCAACCTTGAGGTCCAGCTCTGCTTCCTGCTCCTGGCCGACTGGAGCTAGAGGCTTTTCTTCACTCAGACAGCTGCTGGCTGCTGAGGCTGAGAAGCCCAAGGTTGTGAGTCCCAAGGTTGGTAGAGCATGGCAGGCTGCTGAACAACAACATGGCTACATGCAGGGTCCAAGTGTGCCATATGCTAGAGACCATTCCCAAAGCTGCTGCTTATATACGAGAAGCAGACCACATACCCAGAGCAGCTATTCAGCTGCTTGTGGTAGATTCCACCATGGAGTTGATTGCCAGTCTCATCATGGGGAATAACTGCCACCAGCTGTCCAACCACTCAGCCAGGCCTAGCCAAGTTGACACACAAACATAACCACCACACAGTGGGAATTAGACCTTGGGATATAGATCTTGAGAGATGGCTATATAGTTGTAGGCTGTAAGAATGGATGTGATCATTAAAGGTGAAGAGAATAGAGTGAATAATAGGACATAGAGCCATAACTCTGGGAAATTCCTAGATTAATAGGTAGATAAAAGAAGCACCATTCAGAGCATATAAGAGAAGTAATTAAAGGTTGTACTGGCTTAGTGAAGTGTTCTGAGCTACACTGAAGGAAGAGAATTTTCCAGAAGGTAGCAATACCGGTATTAATGCTTGTACAGATGGCAAAGGAGGATGAGAACTGAGAGGGAAAAAGAACTTGAATTTGATAATTACAAATCCATTAGTGACATCTGAACCCAATTGAATGGAGTTTGAGAAAGAAGTTGATTTTAGGGAGTAAAAGAGCTTAAGATACCAAGTCCTTTTTAGAGTGTGTTTTCATGAGATAGATGATTCTGCAGGGTATCACTCAGATCACACACACATTACATTGTCTTGTATCCCTAGTTGGGATGATGCCTTAGGTATATTATTTATACATACATCTCTGTAGCTTCCATTTGTTGTTGTCATTGAGTTGGCTCTGACTCATGGTGAACTTAAAACAGAATGAAGCATTGCCTGGTCCGATACTATCCTCCCAGTCTTTGGTATGTTTGAGCCCATTATTGCAGCTAGTGTGTCATTCCATCTCCTGGAGGGTTTCCTTCATTTTTACTGACCCTCTGCTTTAAGCAAGCATGATACTCTTTTCTAGTGATTGATTTTTCCTGATGACATGTCCAAAATAAGGTACTAAACATGTAGTATATATATTGAAAATAATAGCTGTTGAGTAAATAGAATAGATATGGGCCATGTGTTCACGAAATGTAATAGTGAAAAGAAAGATCTGTAATATAGGATAAAGTGAAGGTAGATTTTTAGTTTGTGCTTTGTTTTGTTATGTGAGGTTTGGGCATATTTGAAGATTGGAAGAAACCAATAGGAAAGAAAGGCTGAATAAAGCAAAATAGGAGAGTTGAAGGAATAAAGGTTTATAATTATTTCCAGGAGGCAGTGAGAAGAGATGGACTTATTTATTAGTGTTAAGGATTTATCATTGGAAAACAAGATAAATCTCTTTCTCTTGAGGTATGGGAGAAGTGAGAGTAGACATGGAAAGAGGTTTTTAAGGCTGAGAAAAAAATATATGAGGAAATCAGTGAATGAGAATCGGAGACTTTAAGGAAATAGAAAAGAATGGAAATAACTATTGTGTGAAAGTCATGCTGGACATTTACTGGGGGGAAAAACCTCACTGCCGTCAAAGTCGATTGTGTCTCATAGTGACCCCTCCTTGGGTTCAGAGGTGGTATCCCTGTAGAGGTAGATTGCCCAGTCTTCCTTCCAAGGAGTGGCTGGTGGTTTTGAACTGCCAGTCTTCTGGTTAGCAGTCAAGTGCCTTAGGCACTATGCCACCAGAACTCCTGGGTTATGCCACCTTAAACCTCTGGGTTATTTCGGAAAACATAGTCTCAATATAGTATAGCTGTTCATAAAAAAGACTTCAGAAAGTTAGTATCCAGTGATCATTTTGTCATCTTTTAGATTGTTACTACTTATTTAATTAGTTAAGATTAAGGCTATTTTTCAGAATGTGAAATGTTTACGTAGGTGAGTTTCAATAGAAAATTCATTTGTCATGGATTGCAATTGTTTTTACATAAAAAAATGTTTTTAATGTTGCTGACATTGTGGAAGTGTGAAGAAAATTGTTGTAGTCTGATATTAAATTTACTGTGATTTTCTGATTGAGTAATTCGTCTATAATTTAATTTTACTTACAGAGTTTTATAAAGTTAAAGCTCAAATTCTTTAGATGGGAAGAATTTTTGTAATATCTTAAAATTTAATATCCTTAAAGAGAGGAATAGATTGATGCAATAGTCTGAAAATTATTGAGGTTGCTGATTAAGTAGTAAAGATTTTGGATTTGAGGAGAAAACTTGGGAGGTCTTTGTCAATCTTTCATTCAGTTATTGTTTTCATGAAAATGCAGACATCCTGCTTCCGTGAAGGCACATGGCCTTTATTCTGTTTTTAGGAGAAAAAGGCACATGTATAACAATTCAAAATTTAAAGTTGTTAGTATATTTGGACACTCAATTATTTTGGGGATAGAATAATGTTCTGTATTGGTGGCCCTAAGGTTGTTATAATAAAAATTAAGGTTAGCTCCCTAAATCAACTGTAAGATTTAGCTAGCTAATCAAATTGGCCCCATTCTTGAGACATACTTAACCATCTTTTCTGTCTCTTTCCCACTCTTATCAAGCCAACAAAAGAGGCAGTTAAAATTTATGGCTCTAAAATCAAATGGGTAAGTTGAGATTCTAATAAAGAGGTTTTATTTCAGGTTTTTGTAGGTAAGATACCAAGAGATTTATATGAGGATGAGTTGGTGCCCCTTTTTGAGAAGGCTGGTCCCATTTGGGATCTACGTCTTATGATGGATCCACTGTCTGGTCAGAACAGAGGGTATGCCTTTATCACCTTCTGTGGAAAGGAAGCTGCACAGGAAGCTGTTAAACTGGTATGTGATAAATATCTCCTGTCTAGTCGTCATTTGAGGAAATAAACCTAAATACAAAAATATTTTAAGCTAATGATGCTGCTTTTTCTTTACTTTTTGCTTTTAATGTTTTTATATCGACTAAGTTGGTATTAGCTCTTTGCTTTATTGTTTTCTGATTATGATTAAGTGTAAAAAAGAAGTGAAAAATAACCCAAAAATATGTATAATATAGAAAGTCTCTTATAATTCTAACAAGCAATCCATTAGATTGATTAGTACCAAACATTTCATTTGAATATTTGGCTTCTGCAGTTTTGTTTTGGTTTTACACAAGAAAGTTGTAAATTTTTAACTAATGAAGGCTGGAATGAGTTCTGGGTAATGCCCAGTTAGTGACAATGACTTTAGACACAGTTCAGGAAATGGTTGTGAATTTTATTCATTTATCTTTTTGCTGGGGGGGGGAGGGGGCTTTTGTTTTATTTTTGTCTCAGCCTAACAATATAATTCATTTTCTAAGTGTACTCTTGTTTTTTTCTATCTTTTTCATTCCAGGCCCTTGAGTTCTCTATGTCTTATCCTTTCTCTCTTTTTCTACTATTTTACAACCAATATTCTAGTAATTTCCTTTTTGTAGGGCCTTTTGCCTTTTGTGCTCAATTCAGAGTAGTAGTAATAACAGTTTTGCAAATTTAAGTATATCTTCGCTTCTGTTACACTAGGATACAGCTAGCTCAGTAACTTAAAATAACAGTACCATTGTTTTTTTTGCATACTCTTTGAGAGACATCTCAGGGCCTTACTTAGTCTAGTACTAATTCTACAATGGGTAACCTTTTTCATTAAGGCTTCTAGTTTCATTAGTGGCCTATAAATTAGCTCCATTCCTGGCTTTACCCAGATTTGAGTTTTTTATTACAGACTTTTTCTTTCACTTGTTTATTTAATATTGAAATGTTTTTAAAGCTTTTCTGACAGTCTGTGGATTTTATTTATTTATTTATTTAAATCATAAATCTTTTAGTAAACTAATAGTAATGTGAAAGCATAAGAAGCTATTATTAAGGAAACCATCATACAGTTACTTAAATAAAACCTTTTTTATTTCTGTCATTTCATATAACCGTAAAAGTACTATGTTTGATATGCAACGTAAAACTTTATATATTTAGAACTCTATTTTTGTATAGAATGTGAAAGTCTTGTAAATTTCCGTTGATTAAATGTAGTTGTTGTTCTTTAGATAATGTTATTTTGCCTATCCATACCTGCTAGTTTCATTCCCAAGAATGCTGAATGGTCAGTTTCGTCTACTTTTTCTGAAATTCTCTAGAAAAAAAATTGTTCAGATAGATAAAATGGAAATATGAAATAAGATCCTTTAAAAAAATAAATGAATAAACTCTGAGTCTCTTATATATGGAAAAGCAGTGAAGGTTAACAAGACCAAACTTAAAATGAGAGACGTATTAATGAAGTTAAAAAATAAAACATTTATGTTATGGCAAGCTTGAGAGAACTCGGCAAGTTCTTGAAACAGGAAGTACTGGGACTTTAATTGTTCAATTTTTATGTAAGGTCAGTTGTCCTGAGTTTGGGGTGGTTGTGGGTGCCTTTGTTTTTTTCTTCCTTGCAGTGTGACAGCTATGAAATTCGCCCTGGGAAACACCTTGGAGTGTGCATTTCTGTGGCAAACAACAGGCTTTTTGTTGGATCAATTCCAAAGAATAAGACTAAAGAAAACATTCTGGAAGAGTTCAGTAAAGTCACAGGTAAAACAAAATTGTATTTATAAATTAGTTTTGGGGAATCTGTTGTACTATTTCTAAGTGCAAAAAAGGGAGAGTGTTATATTAATCTAATTCAAATCTCCACTGTCTAGGTTGCCTGTCTTTCTCTTTTTAGTGGTTTGGACTGAGCAAGTTCCCTCATACCCTCAGTTTTTTGGAATATACCCTTTACTTCTTTACCTGTATTGAACCCTGACTTTTGTCAGAGTCTTCGTCTGTAGCCCTCAAGTGAAGGCTCCACTACCTCCCCACTCCTGAACACTCTGTACTTTATTATTTTATTTTTTTTATTTTGAGAGCTTGTTTTACATTCAATGTCACGTGTACATTTAGTTTCACTCCCCATTTACCGTGTCCAACCCTAATCAGTCTCCTCCCCTCCCTACTCTGTAACCCTCCCCCTGTGCCCCTCATATTTATGCACTCCTTTTTGTCCTGCATTTCCTCAATTTGAATGTTGGTCCTCTGGTGTCCCATGGTCTAAGGGATGTATTACCATAGAGTATGTGGGTGCGTCATCCTGGGTTGAGTGGTCTGCGTGTACATCTTGTTAACTATTGGGCTGAGAGCCAGCCCCTGGGGGTATGTTTTATTCCAGGCACAGAATGTATTCCAGGGCCATAGTATTGGGGGTCTCAGCAGATTTCATCTGACCAGTAATTCTGGTCATTATTGAGTTTTTGGATTTTTTCCACATTTTCCCTTCCTCTCTAGCCAGTATCTCCAGATTTGATCCTTTTCTGAGTGGTTGGCATTGGTAGCCGGGTACCATCTAGTTCTTCCTGGTCTCGAGGGCCATAATGTCTTATGGCTGATGCTTCCAAATGCCCCCCGCCTTTGTTTTGCGTTCTTATTCACTTCAACACTGAGAGACCATTAGCTTCATGTTAGATGGTTGCTTGAAAGCTTTTAAGACCCCAGTTGGTATTCACCAATGTAGGATGCAGAGCAAGGCTTTTATATACTTTGTTGTGCCAGTTGATTGTGATGTCTGCTCAATGTACTTTAGACCCAAAGGGTATGAGGTTTCTTATCCTCCCTTCCTGTTACCTTGTATAGACCAGATTTTTCATTCCAAACCTATGCAGTCAATTGAGAAGTACATTTTATATCATAACTCTATATACATTCATTTATAAATCATCTGTTGCTTTCTGGCTTTACTTTCTCAATTGCAGATTACTTCTGGGTCACAGGCTTTCTTTTCTACTTAAAATTGACTTATTCTTACTGCCTTTAACGTCTACATGTATGAACCATCCAATACCTTTGTCATCTAGTTCTGTGACCACCTCATCTCAGTTATTTATTTTTTAAAAATTATATTACTATTTTTTTTTTGCAGTGTCTCCCATCCCCCATCTCAGTTCTTTACTTGAGCTTCCCCACATCTGAATCTGCTACTCCCCATCATAGTTGTATTAGTCACATATATACCCCAACTGACACAGTTCTTTGACCTCATCACTTTTTATTATTCACCATCTCCCTTTGGTATCATATCCATTCATTTCTTCAGGAGCTGTTTACTCAAGTGCCTATTAAACATTAGACTTGTCCTATGTGCTAGGATACAGTGGTGAATAAGATGTGTTCCTTTCCCTTATAGTGCCTACCTTTTGGGGAAAGAGCCCTCCAAAAGTAAATATTTAAAGGTTATGATAAGCACTTTGAGGGGGAAATACAGACTATTTAGAATAGCTACTAACCCAGTTTTACATATGATGGTCATGGGAAGTTTTTCTGAGAAGGGATATTTAATCCAAAATTTGAAGAATGAGGAAGGTCCAAAACTATTCAAAGAACAAAGAGAAGTACATTATAAGAGAGCAGCATATGCCGAGGCTCTGAGACAAGGAGCTCAGTGTATTAAATTAACTAAAAGAAGGCCACTATTGTTAAAAGGTATAATTAGGGGTAGAATTTTATGAGATGAGGTTTTAAAAGAAGGGTAAACCTTTTATAGACATTGTAAGGAATTTGGATTTTATTCTAAGTATAATGGAAAGATATTTGGAGTTCTTAAGCAAGGAATAACATCTGATTCATGTTTACAGAATATTCCTACTACTACATGGATAATGGCATGGTGAGGAGGTCAATAGCAGAAGCTCATATTTTAGTTGAGGCTGTCATACTAGATCAGGTATGATTGGACTGGTTAACAGTGGAAATGAAAAGTAGATGGGTTTGGAATATGATAGGGGAGATAAAGGAAGAACATAAAGACTCAATTTCTGGGTGAATGGTACTATTTATTAGGGAAGTCAAGGGAAGATAGAATTTTGGGGTGGTGGTACAGTTAAGAGTATAAACCCAAAACAAAACCCACCGCTATCGAGTCGATTCTGACTCATGGTGACCCAATAGGACAGAGTAGAACTGCCCCATAGGGTTTCCAAGGACATAAATCTTTATAACAAAGAAGCAGACTGTCTCATCTTTATCCCATGGAGTGGCTAGTGGATTCAAACCTCTGACCTTTTGGTTAGCAGCCAGATCTTTAGCCATTGTGCCACTAGAACTCCTTGTTACAAGACTGTAGGTTGTATTTTAAAATAGGGACCAAGTGATCTTACCTAGGAAGAACGTATATGGAAGAAGAGGGCACAGAACCAAGATCAGAGACACTACAGTATTTGGCGATCAGTTTCACTCTTGGTAAAAGCTTTTATTATTATTTCCAGGTTGGCTCAGATCCCAAGTTGTAACCTTTTGTTAGGTGCCATCGAGTCAATTCTGACTCACAGTGACCCTCTGTACACCAGAATGACATACTGCCCAGTCATGTGCCATCCTCACAATCCTTGCTATGTTTGAGCCCATAATTGGCCATTGTGTCAGTCCATCTAATTGAGGTCTTCCTCTTTTTCCATGACCCTCTGCTTTACTAAGCATGATGTCCTTCTCCAACAACTGATCCCTCCTGATAACATGTCTAGAGTATATGAATCAAAGTCTCATCATCCTTGCTTCTAAGAAGCATTCTGGCTCTACTTCTTCCAAGGCAGATTTGAATTTTTTCTTTTTTTAAAATTGTAATACATATATGACAACCGTACAACATTTCATCAGTTTGTACTTGTATGCTTCAGTGACATTGATTACATTCTTCAAGTTGTACATCCATTTTCACTGTTTTCTCCAAACTATCCAACCACTGTTAACATACCAAAAATAGCAGCTTTTAAGTCAGATCCAAAATCCAGGATTTTGTTGAATGTTTGTTCTTTTAGATTCTTATTAATAATTTGGTCTTTAAGGTCCTTGATAGTGTTTTCGTAAATTATAAGGTCTTGTTAAAATTCTTTCAATCATTCATGTCAGAATATAGTAGTTGTATCTTCTTTTGTATATATGACTGTACCTTCAGGACCCCTAAAATTATAAGGAGACATAAAATATTGTCCCAAACCCATGTCTAATAATGCTGATCTAATTGTCTACTAGGTAATTAGTGAATTATTTCACAGCTTCTTCAGTATTTTTTTTATTCTTCAGCAAGTGGATTTATGTCTGCCTAAATCTCTAGATGTGTGGTGGATGCTTTTGGCTTATATATCTGGCTGTTGGTTTAACAGAGGGTTTGGTGGACGTTATTCTCTATCATCAACCCGATGACAAAAAGAAGAATCGGGGTTTCTGCTTCCTTGAATATGAGGATCACAAGTCAGCAGCACAAGCCAGACGCCGGCTGATGAGTGGAAAAGTAAAAGTATGGGGAAATGTAGTTACAGTTGAATGGGCTGACCCTGTGGAAGAACCAGATCCAGAAGTCATGGCTAAGGTAAATAGAATTGCTTGGGGGTGTGGGTAGGGTAATTATTTCAATTCTGCACTAAAAAATGAAGCTCTTATTTTCTGCATTAGGATGAATACAAATTACAGTTCTAGACCTTTGCTGTTTGGGCAAGGAGCTGCTTTAGCACTAAAGTTTACAGTCTGCTTTAGTATCGAGGAATATTTGTTAACCATCCCTTTTCCTATAGATTAAACGTGTAAAAGGAACTGAAATGAAATCTCTTCAATTACATACGTATTTCAGTACACATGAATATTTATTTAGTGCTGCCTGCTATGAGAGGTACAGAGGTATAAAAGACAAGGTCTTCCTGAATAGAGAGAACACTAATGTTTTTGAAATTTTGAATTGTAATCCTCATTGACCGTGGAAGAAGAGATTCCCTACAACTTTATTCTGTGTGTAGAAACTTTGTCTTTTAACACTCTCCTTTCTACCTCTGAATTCTTTCCAGGTATTTCTTTTTTTAAAAATTTTTAATTTGTTAAAATATAGACTTTTTTTTTTTTTTTTTTATGATGGTCAAATTCCTTACAAGTACTAAGAGTATTTGTCATGAAGAAAGGCAAAAGTTTGCCATGGTTGTTATTTGTTAGTGACAAAATAGTCAAGGGAAGTCATGTAGGGGGCCTTCAATATTCTCCTGAATCCTGTACTTCCATTGCTAGAATATCTGCCTAGTATATGGTGGTGCCTTGAGTCTTGGTTCTTAACCCTTCTCTTGAGTGACTCTGCCATGAGTTGGAATCGTCTTGATGGCAACTGTTGTTTTAGTTTTTTCAGTGACTCTTGCAGTTGAAGGTACAGACCAGAATTATATTTCTGCTTCTGTTAGTGAGTTTTTGAGTATTTTATTGTGTGTGTCAGTCATTCCTAGGGAGACAACAACTGTGAAGATGGCTATGATTTAATGGTTAGATTCTTCTTGACTGAGAAGTCTTTTCCTCAAGCTTTTTCTTATAGGTTCTAAGTTGGCAAGTCTATACCCTAACTAATTTAGAGGAAAGCCTCAGTTTATACTAGTATGGTAAAGGTTTTATAGGCAAAGAGATCTTTGGGTTAAGCAGAGAAGAAACCAAGAAGAAGAAACCAGAGAGGCTCTCAAATGATGCTCAGTATCTTTTCCTTACGTTCCTTGAGTTGATGGGTGTCTAAGCAAGGGACTGAGACTCTCAGTATGCTCATTTTTTAAATTTTGCTACATTTTTTGGTAGAACTTAATTCTAGTTGTGATTTGGAGCAAACTACTGATCTTGCAAGTCATCTGATATTTTATAAAGGTTGGCAAAATCCCCCTAAACTTAATTCTGTGTGTACAAACTGAGCATAACCTGTATTGCTTTTTCTGTTAAAACATCAAAATAGCATTATGAGAGAGAAACTAAACATAAAATTGCTAGAAAATACAGAGTTGAGTAATTTGCTTATCAATCACTTCTCATATTCCTCTGTTAACCTTTCAGATTGAAGTTATAAAGTTCATCCTAAATCCTTTTTTTTTTAGGGTTAGAAAACCTCCAGATTTTCTTCCAGTAACCATTCTTCTGGACCAAAAACAAGTTTTCAGAATGAAAGGAGGCTTCTACAAACTTGGAATCAAATAATATTTACTCCTATGTTGTTTTCTGATTTTAAAAAAAGTAGTTTACCCATTAGTGTAAAGCTTTGTCACTTACTCTATCAGTATTTCAATTCATGGAAGATTCTTTGCCAAGTTGGGTCAGTTTTATAATCAACCTAAACCAAACAGCCTAAATGTATCTTTCTTAAGTTAGGAACCTTTTTTCCTGTTGAACATTTTAAATGCAATTTCAATGTGATTGTTACGGTTTCATTACAGAGAATAAAAAGTCTGTATGGAGTTATTGGGGAAAATGAACAAGTAATTAACAAATGGGGTTTTTCTAATGTAGAGACTGGGCTTAATATAACATCGAGGGAAATAAAGGCAGTAGAAGGTAAAGGTGAAAATGTTAGTTTTCTTTCCTTTGAATTAGTATCTTTTTCCCCAGCTCCTGCTTACTCATATATCCCTTATCTGAGGCAACCATGTACTCAGTGGATGTGTCAAAATTTTTATTGAATTATGTCCCCTAGTTAAAAAAATCAAAGTGGTACAGAAAGATACAGACAAAACTCATATTTCTACCTCTGTTCCTATCTACTGTTCTCTCTATAGGCATCCATTTATCTTTTTAGTGCTTCCTTAGGCAAATACTAGCAAACATAAGTATATATTACTGTTTTTTCTACTTCTTACACAAATGGTTGCTGGTAGCATAATTTATTCACTGATCTGTATTTCCTTTGTTTACCGTCCTATCGTAACATTTGTAAGGAAATGCATCGTTATTTCATATATATATATATCATTAAGAAATAAGATGCTGCCTATTAAACTATGACACAATGCTTGCTTATCAGTTAACTAAGTTGTATTACTATTTTGGAGTTGTAAAAATGGGAGGGAAAATATTTCTTTTCAGCAGTACATCTTGGGAGATGGTCAACTCGGAGATCTTTTTTTGTTGTTGTTTTTAATGGTTGTATAATATTCCACTCTGTGGATGTACCATAATATATTTAACCATCTGGACAGTAAATTATTTCTAGTCTTGTTATTATAGTGCTATAATGAATAATCTTGTACTATGTCAGTTGGTAAAAGTGTAAATACAGCCTTAGGATAGATCTTCATGGGTAGAATTGTGGACCAGAGCATAAATACATCTATAATTAAGATATTGTCAGATTTCCCTCTATAGGAGGTAATACCATTTTGTACTCCTACTAGCCAAAATACAAGAGGCCTATTTTCCCTATCCTTGACAAAATACTTTTGTATTTTATCAATCTGATAACAAATGATAGATCAGTGCCAATAAGTTTGCATTTTTTTGTGCATGGGTTTGAGCTTTTAATATGTTTAAGGGCCGTTTTTTTAATGAGCCATGTATTCATGAGTTTTGTCTGTTTTGCTACTCAGTTATTAAGCTTTTGTCTTGTTTTCTGGAGCTCTAGATAAAGAGTGATTAGTGCTTTGTATATGATTTAAGTCACAAATAAATTTTTCATATTTGTCATTTGACTTTGATTATGCCATTTTTGCCATGTAGAAGTCACTTGTTTTTAGTAGTTGAATTTATCACTCTTACGGTTTCTGGATTTTAAATCACAAAGCCTTCTATATAAAGGAAAGGTTATATAAAGGAATCACCCTTCTAATACTTTCATTTTTTTCTCTCTCTTTTCACCTTTTTACCATTAATTTCTCGGAAGGAAGATGGGGCAATCTACTTCCGTAGTGATACTGCCTCGGAAACCCAAGGAGGGGTCGCTATGAGTCTGGTCTGACTCAACAGCACAGAACAACAACAACAACAACCATTAATTTAAAAATAAAAGAAATCTGTTTGGGGTTTAATGTATAATGTGAGATAGGAATCTGGCTTTTATCTTTTTCCAAATGGTTACATAGTTCTTGGCAGCTTTTCACGTCTGTGAGAGCACTTATAGCATTTAATATTTTAGAGCCGAAAAACTTATGTAGATAAGAAAAAAATACTTTTAAGACTTCAGCTAAAATTAAATAGCCAATACCAATTTTGTGTGTTTATTACTATTAGGTAAAAGTCTTATTTGTGAGAAACTTGGCTACTACTGTTACAGAAGAAATATTGGAGAAGTCATTTTCTGAATTTGGAAAACTTGAAAGAGTAAAGAAGTTAAAAGATTATGCATTTGTTCATTTTGAAGACAGAGGAGCAGCTGTTAAGGTAGAAATTTGGGCATTTTGCTTCTTGGTGTTTAAATTGAAATTAATCACTGATGTGTAGACTTGCTTTTTAGTATGTAGCTAAACTTTAAGGAGTTAGTTCTTTGGATTTGGGAGCCTCAGTAGACAGCTCTCTTACCTTTCAAAGTATAATAGTAGAACATCAATTTTGTTCTTAATGGAAGATCTCAAGTAACAAGTAGTTTTTGTTTTACTTTCTGACTAAATTCATCTTTTGTAAATTAAAATAACTATTGAATAAATTGAGTATATGTCTGTAAACAACACATGTTTATGAAGTATATCATTTCTTATAAAATAAATTTGCTTTCCTAATTTTCTATAGGCCATGGATGAAATGAATGGCAAAGAAATAGAAGGGGAAGAAATTGAAATAGTCTTAGCCAAGCCACCAGACAAGAAAAGGAAAGAGCGCCAAGCTGCTAGACAGGCCTCCAGAAGCACTGCGTGAGTCAACATTTCAAGATACATCTTTGAACAAGAAATTAATTGATATTGGAGATCAGGCTGATAAAACAAAATCCAGAAGAGCCTTGAAGTAAACTAATCTTTTCTTTCTTTTCTCCCTTCCCTCCACTGCTAGGTATGAAGATTATTACTATCACCCTCCTCCTCGCATGCCACCTCCAATTAGAGGTCGGGGTCGTGGTGGGGGGAGAGGTGGATATGGCTACCCTCCAGATTACTATGGCTATGAAGATTACTATGATGATTACTATGGTTATGATTATCACGACTATCGTGGAGGCTATGAAGATCCCTACTACGGCTATGATGATGGCTATGCAGTAAGAGGAAGAGGAGGAGGAAGGGGAGGGCGAGGTGCTCCACCACCACCAAGAGGGCGGGGAGCACCACCTCCAAGAGGTAGAGCTGGCTATTCACAGAGGGGGGCACCTTTGGGACCACCAAGAGGCTCTAGGGGTGGCAGAGGGGGTCCTGCACAACAGCAGAGAGGCCGTGGTTCCCGTGGAGCTCGGGGGAATCGTGGGGGCAATGTAGGAGGCAAGAGAAAGGCAGATGGGTACAACCAACCTGATTCCAAGCGTCGTCAGACCAACAACCAACAGAACTGGGGTTCCCAACCCATTGCTCAGCAGCCGCTTCAGCAAGGTGGTGACTACTCTGGTAACTATGGTTACAATAATGACAACCAGGAATTTTATCAGGATACTTATGGGCAACAGTGGAAATAGACAAGTGAGGGCTTGAAAATGATATTGGCAAGATAACGATTGGCTCTAGATCTACATTCTTCAAAAAAAAAAAAAAAATTGGCTTAACTGTTTCATCTTTAAGTAGCAGTTTGCTGCCATTTGTATTGGGCTGAAGAATCACTATTGTATATATACTCAAGTCTTTTTACTTTTCCTCTTTTCATAAATGCTCTTGGACATTATTGGGCTTGCAGAGTTCCCTTATTCTGGGGGTTACAATGCTTTTATCGTTTCAGGCTTAATTTTAGCTTCAAAACAAGCTGGGCACACTGTTAAATCATGATTTTGCAGAACCTTTGTTTTTGAACAGTTTCATTTTTTTGGATTTGGGATAGATTACATAGGAGTATGGAGTATGCTGTAAATAAAAATACAAGCTAGTGCTTTGTCTCAGTAGTTTTAAGAAATTAAAGCAAACAAATTTAAGTTTTCTTGTATTGAAAATAACCTATGATTGTATGTTTTGCATTCCTAGAAGTAGGTTAACTGTGTTTTTAAATTGTTATAACTTCACACCTTTTTGAAATCTGCCCTTCAAAATTTGTTTGGCTTAAACGTCAAAGCCGTGACAATTTGTTCTTTGATGTGATTGTATTTCCAATTTCTTGTTCATGTAAGATTTCAATAAAACTCAAAAATCTATTCAAAACATTACCTATTTCAAATTCAATTGTGTCCTAAAATATTATTTTATTCGTAATCCTTGCAAGGAATATTGTTTTCAAAGTATAACTGCCTATGTGAGTGATCAAATTCATGCAAAATTTCATGTCTATTCTAACATGTATTATGGACATCAGGATGAGAATTAGTCTAAATTCAAGTATTTATTCCAAATGTCACTCATTGGTGTTCTGTCACAGTTGCTTCTAATTTTGAAATTTTATTCTATATTTTAAAAAAACCAAAGACTTTTGAACATTCTTGCAGGCATTGGAGAATTTGCATCTGTTAAAGCAAAATGGGGTTGGGGAAGCAGACTGCAATTTATTTTAACCCACATTCTTTCTATAAAGAACAATTTGTGGTTGAAGTCCTTATTTGCTGGATAAGTGAATGGATATAATAGGAGAAAGTGTTAGTATTATGGCATCAATTGCACTGCAGGCTTAACTTCAGTTTTAGTATATATGATCTTAACTACATTTTCAGTTACTGGTTTAGGAATATAATTTCCTGTTGCTGTACAAATTTGCTTTGAGGAAACACTCAAAAGAGAGGCTTTAAAAGTACCTAGTGGTCATGCTTCCTGCTTTTGTTGATATGACTTTTATTTTTATTTTTTTAAAATCTTAGTGGATAAATTTCTTGTTGGCCAGGCCATCTTCCCTGTTCAGCCTTTGCATAGCTGTTTTATTTTAATGACTTTTTTTATGTGAATGAGAGGAACAAAGTATCTAAACTTTACAGGAAAGTCTGGATCACTTTCATGCTCCTCAGATTTCCATTTTACTATTAGCTGGTTCTAAAATATTTTTATAATGGTAAAATAAGCCTTTGGAGAATAATTAAAATGGACACACCTTTATTTTATGTTTTGTTCCTATTTGGTGTCTTTTTTGACAGCAGTATTATACATCATAATCATAAAGCCACTTAATTCTTTGTGAGCTTGGTTAGATCCTATTTTGGGTTTCATGGCTTCTCTTTTGATTTTGAATAAGTAAATTAATAGCTGATGAAAATCTGTTTCTCAGTTCTCTTTCAAAATATACACATTTCATAGTACAGTCATTTAACAGACCTTATTAGTCTTCCTTTTTTATGTTTTTGGAAACTGATAAATTATTCGGTCTGTTGTGTAGTAGCTTCATATTAACGTGGGTGTTTAGTAAGGCTTGGATCCAGTTTTTTTTTTTGGATTATTTTGTTCATGAATACAAGTAAAGACACCAAACGTTCATTAAATGCTGCTTTTAAACTTTGAAAATACAATTTGAAGCTATAACTGTAAATCTAAATTAGATTTAAACCCTGATTTTCCTTGGAGAGAACTAAGGGTATATAAATGGAATTTGAGTTGTTTGTATTTCTTAAAAGTTAATGTTTTGTGAGGTAGAGTTGTTATGAAGAAAATCAGAAATGGGAATAGAAGTGATTTGGAAAAAGTTTTTTCTTACTGTGTTTCCCCCTGCACATCTTAAAATATAATCCCTGTCAAAAACATAAAAACAAAATTTGGGTTCCATGTCAAAATCGTTTCATTTAATTGTAAACTATATTTTAGTCACTTGAGTTTTAAAGTGGCTACCTCCTCCTTTGAGACTCTCATTAATGAAAAATTTTATCTGGAGAAGTATCTCTCCAATACTGCTTTATAGTTTTTGTGGCTGTTTAACAGAAAATACAACTCTATAACATGAAATCTTTGGAGCTCTTCCTCTTTGATGTCTTAAAAGTTGTAAAAGCATTCAGAGAAAATAGATGCAGAGCTCAACTTTTCACAGAAATAAATCTAACAGTGTAATGTGTAAGATTGAAAAATGTCAGTTGAGGGATTTCTCAGTTTTAGATTTACATTAGTTTCTGTTTTAAATAGGTGCATATTAGTTGAGAAATTAGGTATTCTGCTCTCCTGCCTTTCCATCCTTTTTGTTCCCCAACCTAGTTGATTTAGTTTTATTTAAGAGCCTGCCACAGTAAAATGTGTGTTGGGAAATGTATTTGCTTTATATTGACAAAGATGTCATTTGCGTAGGTACCCTTCTGAGATTGACATAAATATACCCCTTCCCATAATGGAATGCTAATTTTATTTGATCACTCATTTATAGCAGTTGCTTAAATGTATGTAATTATATGAAGGTGTTTTAATTTTTTAAAAGCAAAAAAGTTCTAATAAGTTGCCAGATTTCTAATAAGTCCACGTTTGTTGAACAAAAGATATGGAAGATGAGTTACGGTTTTGTAGTTACTTTTTTAAACAAAGGAATTCAGCATAATTGGTTTTAGCATTCTTAGTTACTGGGGTTATTCTGCATAAGAAAGCCCAATGCTTTCTGCTAGTAGTAGATAACTTTTTTCTGATTTGACTTTGAAATCTGACTTAGAAAGGTGAACCCTTTTTCTTTTTAAAAAGCTTAGCATGCATCAAAATAAATTACATATTTTAAATTCCAAAAGAGAAAGAAAATAAACTTCCATGCCTAGCATAAAGCTGCATAGTACTTTGAAACTCATCACATCATTTGCCTCCTGCCCATTTGGATAATCATACCTGTTTTATTGTGTATTATTTGTAAAATCAAACCCAGTAAATACTTGCTATAAGGCTGTTAGTTCTTAGATTTCTTAATATTTAAAATTTGCCCTTTTGATTTTTTTTCAAAGACCATTTTATTATACTGAGCTATCCATATTCTTAAAGCCAACCTGAGTATTTGGAAGAAATGTTAATGTTAGTGTTGTCCTCTATTAAGTGAGCAGCTTAAAAAAAAGCCTTATAGAAAGCATGCACTGGATTTATAAGTGTGTTTATGTTTTTCTAAGGATGGGAGCTTCTGTTAACTTGGAGGTGGAATTGTTCTGAATAAGCCAGTGAATTGGATGACTATTGGAGAATCCAGAATGACAAATCCATTAACCAGACATGTTTACTTTTGCATTAGAAGTTTGTTAATTAGGTTTTCTATTTGAAATGCAAACACTGTTTAAATGTATTGCATATTTAATGTATTCATCAATATTATAAATAAGGATAATAATTAATTTGCAGTAGTTACTGTCAATCTTTCTAGTAAAGCTTTTTTTTTTTTTTTTAATTTCCTTTAAAAATATATACATATGTATATATATTTTATTTAGAGGTTACCAGAAGCTCTGGTTTGGTTTTGTGGGATTTTTTGGGGGAGGTTCTTTTGGGTTTTGGTTTTGGTTTGTTTTTGGGTTGTAATCATTTTCAGATGTTGTCCAGAAATCTCCAAGTGTACTTTTCCTGTTTTAACTCCTTCCTTTTATCACCTGACTATCAGGGAAGCGTGGTTGAGGCTGCCCTGACCTGACATGTCATGATGTCGACTTGCTAGGTGGGGTTCGCTGGGGACGATAACCAGTGGAATTGTTGGTAAGAACTTTTTTTTTTCCTATTTTATTACTATTTTTTAAAAAATCAGTAGTGGGGCATTAAGTGTGGGAGAATGCCCATATTCTTTAAGTGGGCAATTATGTCAGACTTGTAGGAAAATAAGACTTTAATATTAAACTAATATTCTTAGTAGGAACATACAAGTATTTCATACTCAGTAGTTTCAGATTGATAGCATATCATCAGGAAAGGCCTTAACTATGAAATACTAAAATATTCAGGGTGTATTTTAAGTGATTAAGACAAACACCTTACAATTTAAAAATAGTTTGGAGAGACTAAATTTATTTCACTGATTTTAAATTCTTCTAATATCATTATGTTTACTACATTTTTATTGATGCTGTTGTTGTTACGTGCCGTGGAGTCAGACCTGACTCATAGTGATCTTTCCTTGGGTTTCCTAGGCGATATCACTACAGAATTAGATTGTCCAACCTTCCTCCCGAGGAGTGGCTGGTGGGTTTGAACCTCCAGCCTTCTGGTTAGCAGTCAAGTGCCTTAGGCACTATAATGCATCAAGAGATGTTTTTAGAGTCCTGGTAGTGCAGCACAAACACTAGTGAGCTCAATTTAGAAATACATTTGATAAGATGACTTTGGGTAAGGAGGGAATTACATGCCTTAATTATCAGGACCTTGAACATGGCAGAATCACAAACCTATCAACAACTTTTGTTTTTTCTGAGAGTTAGTACGTAGTTGACTACTAAACACTGAAATCCCTTATACTCATTAGGGGATTCCATAGTGGTAAAGTATAAATTGAGGAAATTTAAAAAGTAAATATTTGCTGACCATACCATATAAAAAATAATTATAATATGACATAAACACTAATTAAAAGTAGTTACGGATTTTCATACCTGAAGAACCTTGTTGGTATTCTTACAAAACTATACTGTTTTCCTTCTTATTGGTTATTGGTGTCTATCAGCCTAAAAATAATCGCTTAGAGGTCAAACAAGCATTAATCAGTTAGCATGAATACGTACTTTTATCTAAATTTGTTGTAGACTAGTAAAGTTTCATCACTACAATAAAAGTAAACTTGAAGAATTGCAGTGCTTTAGTTGTGTCAAGGTCTTATTTCTCTTCTGACACATTTTATGCAAATATCAGTTATAGGAAAGATCAGGGTATGGACTTCAAAGGTTGCAGTAAATGACATGCAGTAGGAACACTCATAATTCTGAAAAAGAATTAAGGAAAATATAGTGCAAATTTGTTGGCTTTATACACTGACAACAAAATACATTTTATAGGTCCAGAAAAGAAAGAGACATTTTTGGGGAAAATGTAAATTGTCAAACATTAATAAAGGTTTTGTTTTATGTAGTAATTTTGTCAGGATCCCATGAACATCACTTACCTTGATTTCTCACTTCTCTAGCCTGTTGAATACATAGGCATAATTGTGAATCCTATTATGATGTTTTAGTATTATGTTTTAAGGCTATTTCTATAATTGGGCTTAAAGTTCCTTATAAACATGTTGCTAATATGCGTACAATACATGAGAAATATTTAAAAAAAAATAGGGACTTATTTATAAGACCTTTTCCATTTA